AAAAGGAATAAAGTTTTAGATAGAGAAGTTAATCACAAACTCAGCAGAGAAATTCAGCTTTAGGGGGACCCAGATTCAGTCCCCACCCTTGTTTCAACTTTTTCCAAATATTTGAAGGAATGTCTCATCAGTTCAAAAAAAATGCAGCTATTAATTAATTCCATTAGAAACATCTTTACTTTGAAACTGTGTAACATCCTATACACTTCTTTAACAATTTTATAGTGGCTATAATTTCAATTTAATGGCCAAGGGAAATAGAAACAAAAAGTAAAATTCTGAAAATCCAAATTCAGATTCAAATCTATTTTTAAAATATTCTTTCTGCTCAGAAAGATCAGGTGATGGTGGAATGCTAAATTCTGTGGCTCAGAGAGGTTATGTTGAAGTTCATGGAGTAAGTCAGCAGTGTAGTGGGAAAGTGAACCCAGGACGTCTCACTCCCATTTTAGGGTCACATACTGCAAATGCTCAGACAAGAATCTACATTTAGCTTTGGATCCAGAAAGTTTAAGGGACTGAAGGTAATTGGAAAATGCACATAAGAATATAGCTGGACGGCTGTACTTTATATAGATATCTACGGTAGCTTTTTTAAAAATCACATTGTACAGTAATTATTTATTTGCACCTCTCTCCTCTACCAGACTTAGAACTCCTATAAAGTAAGAACTGCCTCTCCTTTCATCTTTGAATCTCTGGAGTCCACCATAAAAGCAATGGATGAAGGGAAGGAAGGAAGTGGGAGAAGACAGTGAAAGAGATGGAAAGAAAAAAAAAATTTGCAGAAAACTCTGAGAAATGACCTAAGAGACAGAAGGACCAGGGTAGGAGAACATCATGATCTCAATGACATCGAAACATTCCACCACACAGCCCACGATAGAAAAAGATACAGTGAAGAAAAGCAAGTTAGAAAAAAGCATGCAACCTTAGTTGAAAAAAAATTTGTCTAAAATACCAATTCATTCAAATTTGGGTGATGGCTGTTTATCTAAATGAAGCCAAACAGGTAACTCATGGTAAAAAAGTATACAAAAATGAATATATGTAAGTTCATGTATGACTGAAGCACTATGCTGTACACTAGAAATTGACACGCTGGAAACTGACTATACTTCAATAAAAATATACACATACCAAAAAATGAAGCCAAACATATATAATTAAAAAAATAAACTATGTAGATTCTTTTTCCAGTCAAAATAGAAGTGTCTTGTGTAGAAAACAGAACTTTTTGAGTCTAGACTCATATCCATGTATGACACATCAATGTTCCATTGTTAGGGTAAGGACTGACTGATTTGCTCTTGACTCAATGGTTTATTGATACAAAATCAGAGACACAAAAGTCCTAAAAATTTACTTAGAAAGAGACATCTGTTATTAGGTTAATCTGACATCATTTAATCTTTCTAAATTAAGAAAAACTGTACCTAAAATTATCGCTTCCCTCATGTTCACGAAATGCAATGTGTAGATAAGCATTCTACTTCAATTGCTTTCAGTACGTAGCTGCCATTTAGACATCTGAAAGTCAAGCAATCGTGTAACAGAAGCTGCAGAACTCCACAGTGCATAAGAAATGCAAATATTGTTTATTATGAAAACTGAGAAAAGCAGTGTTCTTGGCACACCGCCTAGTTTAATTTCCTGTCATGTCTTTGGCATGTAGTAAAAAGCCCCTTTGTGTCGATTTTCCAAGTAACTGTACCAAATGTGTGTTAATAAACAAAAGTGATGTGAAAAGAATCAAAATAGTTTGTGTAGGACAACTCCAGATTTGCTTTAAATTGAGCAGTCTAATTTTAAAAAAGGCAAATATTTCATTGAGCATCTTCTTTTGTGTAGAGCTATGCATACATGAAAATTCAGATGCATAAAAACAGTTCACTGGGGGATGGGCAATTTTGCTTTTCCAAGACAGTTTTCCCTCATAAGAGATGCATTACATAACTTTTTTTCAAAGCAAACTTGTCTATTGCATTTAAAATAAGTTTAGTTGACAAAATCATGGCTTAGGAAAACATTTTCACAAACATTACAATTCCTTGGAAGGAAGACACACATACAGACGTATTGATACTTTGCACAACCAAGCATATTTGGAAGATAGAAAACAGCATAAAGTATTCACAATCTCACGGGCTATATCATAATAGTGTTTTAACTCTCCTCCACTTGCTTAAGTAATTAGTCTGTGAGGAAAATGATAATTATCATCATCATTATAAAGAAAAATAGAGGACTTATTTGTGTTTACCCTGTTCAGTGCTTTCCCTGCATTATCTCATTTAATCCGGTCAACAACCACGCTACAGGGCACTCTTGTTATCTCTACTTTAGACATGGGAATCTTGAAAGATAAAAGGGCTACATAACCTTCTTCCAAAGATCTCACAGCTGGTATGTGAGCATCAGGAATTTCAATCTAGGTAGTTTGACACGGAAGCCTGTGCTTGAACCCACGTGTTGTATGGCTTCTCATAACACTCAGTCATCATGAAAATGTTAATCTCATCATGTCACTTACTGGCTTGAAACCCTTTGATGGCTTTCCAGTTCACTCAGAATAAAACTCAAATGCTCACCACTTCCTTCAAAGCCTACATAAGCTGGCCCCTGACCACTTTTGGAAATCATCAACCACTTTTGTCCTGCCTCATCGTGTTCCGGACTTGTTTGCTGCCCTTCTAAGATACTGAGCTGGCTTTGCACTTGCTAGTCCTCTCCCGTGAACATGCTTCTTCAGCCTTTCATTCATTAACTCCCTCGCTTCCTTCAGGAGCCTACTCAACTGTCAACGCTTCAAAGGAGCCTCCCCGATCACCTTTACTAAAAGAAAGCTCGCTTGCCCCTCACTTTCAATGTCTGTCCCTTTAATTCAGTTTATTTTTTGTATAACTTATCACTCTCTTAAATCACACTGTGATACAATTATACAGTTATTCAGTCACTTGTTTAATGTCTGTTCCTTGGGGGCAGGACCTCACTGTTCACCTCAGTATCACTAGAGCCTAGAAAGAAGCCTGGCAAAAAACGCGTTCTCGACAGGCTTTCATGGAATGAATGAATAAAAACTTAAGTCTATATGCAGACTGAATATAGACTGTTTGTGAAATTAAACACACTACCATGAACGGACAAGAAAAGAGCAATCAGTAATGATCAGAATTAACAACAAAAATAGAAGTGGTACTCTACTCTTTCAAATGATTTTTCGTGTATGGTCTTCAAAGTGGTATGTACCTATGCAAATATGTATGTAAATAAAACTGATAAAAACTGGACAACAAAGATTAAAATTGTATACAGGTACCTCTGTACCTGGGTATCACCTGGAAAAGGCCTGGTTTGACTTCGTTTGGAGGGCACAGGGTGTGTTGTAGGGGGTTCACTGTTTTAGGTGCTAACCAGACAAGTGAAGGTTGACATGGAGTTAAGGGGTCTAGGGATGAGCCAAAATAACAGCAAGGAGGAGAACATTTGAGCACAAATCCTCAATCCTTTACCCTGGGACTGTGCTAAATTCTTTTGTAACCTCAGGGATACAGTTGGGTCTGAAATGCCCTCCAAGAGGCTTCAACTTCCCACAGTGTGCCCACATCTCAGACTTTCTCTTGAGAAGACTCTGTCCCTATGTGGGTATTAGAAAGAACCCAACCTGCACCAGATCAGCTCAGCCCTATAAACTGACTTAGAGCCAGTCTGATAAGCAGCATAAGGATCAAGCTGGACTAAATTCCCAAGGCTTAGTTTCAGCACTTTACATCTGGGGGGAGCCTGGATAGTACACCACCTCGGGGGGAGTGAGTAAGCAGTGAGAGCCACTCATCTGCAGAGTCTGTTTAATGGTGTGTGTACAGATGTTGGGTGGGAATTTTGAAGTTTAAATCCAGACTAGTCTGTGCAATATTACATTTTCCAAAGAACACAAATAGAAGGTCTGTTTATTAACTTGAATGAGACAAGTGTCTCCAAGACACTTGAAATATATTAATAAAGGTAAGTGGGAATAGCAATATAATATTTTTTTGTTCTTTTATACTCACAATGACACTAACCAGAGTTTAATTTTGGATACAGGTAGTACAAACATAATGAAAGGAAGTAACTTTTTATAAAAATAAGTACATTTTAAAGAATATGAAATAGTGTTATGATTCATGATATAAATACTACAACTACATGTTATAACTAGAGTGTTATAAACTGCTTATATGAATACTATCACAACTGTAGAATAGCATATGAAGGAAAATAAAATTTTAACTTAACACAAATAAACTGTCTCTTGGTTTGAAATCACATGTTATGTTTTATGGCAAAGTTGGGCATTTTCTTTAATAAATATATGGATAAACTTCTTAAAACAGAAATCTAATGGATAAAAAGAAATATAAGCAAAATATCAGTTAAAACTATGCCAAATTAAGTCAAACGAAAACTAGTTTATCTAGCATATAGTATGTAAAAGTATGTTTTCTTAAAACGTTAATAATTTTAAATAAGAGATATATCCAACTTACTAAAGATTTATCAGGATAAACTCCAGCTCTTAGTAGAGATGCCTTCCAGCTGTCTACATCCTCCTGTGAATCACATGCCAGCTCAAGGAAGCGATAGTCCTTGTATACATTCCTGGAATTTAAAAAAAAAAATCATGCTTTTAGTTTTGAACCAAATTCAAAATGGTTTCATATCACTTTAGACCATGCTGATACAAATGACAGTCCAAAGGGAGAGTTACCTGACAATCACTGGAGAAAACCAAAAACAATGTATTGTATTTAAAATTATTAGTAAATTCCTTTATGTACGTATTACACAATTTAAAAACCCTCACATTAAAGAATTCAGAGTCATCTCTACCACTAAGCAGTAAGAAGGGAAGGGAATACAAATGCTGTCAATGCGATACACTGAGCACCAGCGGAGGGGAAGTTCTGAGAGGAATGGATTTGCTACTGCCTAGTAACTAGATCAATTTCTGAAACAAATTTACAAGTCTAAATGGCTAATAAAACTTTAAAATGTGTGGCAATAATTCTAAAAAAAAACCCCTAGAATATCATGCTGGATTCAAAACAGAAAAGCTCATCAATATTGTGAAAAGAAAAGAATGTTAACTAGTATTTAACAGAGTAAAATGTCAATTAAGTCCATATTTATAACTGGGACAATACTGTAATTTTATATTTCCTTTCCTAGTAATAAAATAATACACAAGATGTAATATATGCCCATTTTGAAAAATTTGGAAAGTAGATAAAAGCATAAAAATGGATACAATCATTCATTTTCTATTTACTGATACACTTATTTCTTTATATTCTTTTGTTCAATGCATTTCTCACACAGCTAAGGCTCTCTCTATGTATCTTTATTAATTTTGTGTCCTTTACAGTTACTATTATATCATGGTCATCTACTTATGCTATTACATCTTAATAAACATCAAATTATAATGGTAAAATATTCATTAATATAAATGTGTGATAATTGACTTGATCTCCTAACATTACATACTTTCCTATTTTTACAATCATAAATAATGCTCAAATACTTTTTTCCATAAGCCTTTGCCTTACTATTTTAATTTACTACTACTATTTTCCGAGTATAGACTCCTATATAGTTACAGGATCAAAGTTATGATCATTTTTTAAGACACTAATACACATTCCGATCATCTTTCCAGAAAAGATAATCCAATGTAGACAGATTCTAGGCAATATACAAGATTAACGATCCTTTCTCTTCTTTTTCTTTCCCAAGGTGTTCTCGTTCATGCCTAACAGTCTCAATTTCCACCTAAACCCAGATGGCTCACATATTTTCATCTACTGTCCAGACATGCCCCAGATTCACGCTGCTTATTGACCTCCCCCCTTGAGTATCTCAAAGGCACCTTGACATGAATGACTGAATGACTGAATTGGGGATTTCCACCTGGATGTTCCCATTTCAGGCAGCAGCAGTGTAATCCAGATTCTTTGCAGGTATCTTAGACATCTTCCACTCCCATACCCCTCCTTCCATTCTGCCATCTGAAAGTGGTATTCCTCTTGTATATTGACCACCAACTTATTAACATCTCTCCCTGGGCAATTACAATAGCCTCTTCACTAGTCTCCCAGCATCACATGGCCACTTTAAATTTGTTCTCTAAACAGCATCCTCATCATCTGAAAATGTGAATCAGATGTTTTTAGCTCTGGTGTAAAACACTCCAATACTACCTGCCTTAAGGAAAAGACCACACTCACTATGATGGCCTACAAAGCACTGTGTGGTCTGGGCCGCTGTTACCTTCCTCTCTAGCTTCTTTTCACACTCTGCCCTCCCCTGCTCTTTCAGCCACACCTGCCTTTTACTTCCTCAATGTGCCATGCTTCCTCCCCAAATCTTCACTATTCTGCTGTCTCTACCTGCAACTCTCTTTCCTTCCCTCACTGCACAATTAACTCCTACTCCTTCTTGGAATCTCAGCTCAGTCATGGCTTCTTCAGACATCACTTCCCTGACACCCCTATAGGTCAGCTCCTCTTTCATACATTTTTCGTATTTCTATTTACCTCTCCATCATAGTACTAATCACAGTTCTGATTTCACAATTACGTGTGAGTTTCTTTCTCTCTCCCTCTCTTATTTAATTATTTTAATAATGTCTATCTTCCCAACTAACCCATAAGCAATATTAGGTAGGACACAGAATGTACATTTTTATGCTCATCATTGTATCCCTGAAGGATTCAGGGAAGATGACGGGTCTCATGCTTTGCTTCCTCCACACTTCCAAGTCAGGTCAAACACATCTTCTTCTGTTAAGTCAAGCAGACACTAGAGCTGTTGTGGTACTTCTTTGCTCTGGGATGAACAAGAGCCGTGGGACCACAGCGGGAGAACTCTAAGGCAAGGACCATCATGTATGCAGCAGTCTCTTGGCAGAGCTCACCCTCAAAGATCACAGGACCTTTGGATGTTCCTAGTCCTCCTCCCTGAGGAAGTGTGGAGGGACTGAGTTTTCTCTAAGCTAATACAGAAGAAGCGCTCCCTCCAAGTGTCTCAATAGGTAACCGGCAAACTGCCTATTTCTGGCCTTGATGACTGAGATGTCTGTCTTCCCACACTCACAGGACCAGTTCCCTTAAAGCACCCAGCAGCTGGACCTGTGTCACAATGAAAAAGGAAAATAAAAGGACACCTAAAGAGGAGTAACAGCCAGAGAAAGAAAGAAGAAGGTGATCAGAGCAGTCCACCAAAAAAAGAGAACTGTTGGAAGTAGCAGAATAATAAATATTTGAGGAGATACAAGCATGACATTAGGAAAGACTTTCTGGAACTAAGATAAATAAGCAAGTGTTACTAAAAATACAGGAGGAACTTGAAATAACTATATGCATGTACTTACTTAAAATATAAATATAAAAAAATTTTAATGATTGTTTTCAAATTAGATATAGCAGACAAAATAAGCAAGCACATAAACAGTATAATTGATGAAGTAAATTTAATAGATTCCTTTATCACTTAAATAGAAGATGAAGATTTTTCATTATTCACAAACCATTTACAAAAATCTGTCACACACTTGGATCTACACACATATGCAATGTCAGCTTTAAGAAATTTTAAAAAGGAGAAACTGTATAAATCATATTCTTTGATCACAAAACCAAACGAAAAAGAAAAAATGAATTTCTAAAGAGAGACTAAAAAAGAACAAAAACTTTAGCATATTTCTAGATAACCCCTGTATTACAGAAAACAAAACAAAGTCATAAATTATTCAGAAAGCAATTAAAAAATATAAACATCATATCCAACCAATGGAGCACAGCAAAGGTTGTAGGAAAATTTAAGGCTTTAAATATGCTCATCATTTAGAGAAAAAGAAAAAAAGTTAATATTCATCTACAGAAATGATAAAATTATGATCAAAAAACCAAAATAAGCCAAGAAAGGAAATGAACATAGATTAAAGCCAAAACTAATGAAATAGGAAATATTAAAATAACATAAAGGATAATGACATCCACAAGTATTTTCCTTTTTAGTAACAGATAACACGCTTATAATCCTAATTAAGGGAGAAGACAAAAGAATACAAGATCACAAATGATAGAATACATACCCACAAACATAGGAGATTGAAAAAATTAAAATCAAATACTTTATGTAGTCCTATATCAAAATTAAGAATCGAGAGGTAACAACATCCTAAAAAATGTAAGTCATCAAAATTAACTCAGAAAGAATTGGAAAATCCAAGTGGCTTTTACAAAACTCTACTAGAATTAATAAGATACTTGTTTAAAAGGCTAAACATTGACTGCAAGACAATATACGAAAATCGACGGCTTTTCTCAACACTCCCAATGACTTAGAAATGGGAAAATACTCCATTCACATTAGAAGAAAGCCTATAAAATACACAAAAATAATTTTTTTAATTAAGACAATTATAAAATCTTATTGAATAGCATAAAACAAGATCTTCATAAATGGGAAGACATTTGGACGTGTTTGATTTGATTACACTGTACTCTCAGGTCTACAAAGTGACTAGTGGATAGCAGGTATTTAAAAAATATTTATTCAATAATTTAAGTGATTCTCCATCAAAGCTTAAATATTTTTGCTAAAGTGGTTGAACATTTTTACATATTTATAGAAATGTTCTTTGTTCTGATTTCATTACATACTTTTTGTATATTATTGTAATGATTTCTCATTTTTTAATTTACATTTGCCTGGCCTATCTTTGTCTGTCTCTTCTTTCACTTTTTGGCTTTTATCCATTTATTTTACTTTTTAAAAAGAAATATTTGTTACCAATGCCAACAGTATAGTAGGCTTTTATTTTTCAACCCAATTTGAAAAATCACCTCCTATGATTAGGGAAGGTTTAATCACGTTTATTTTTTGCCATAGCTGTAAGCTTTCAGTTTTGTCATTTTGACACGTGTCTTTTTTTGTTGTTCTTGTTCTTCAGTTTCCTCGTGTATGTTGATAAATGAATTCCCTTTTTCGTTTCCATTTTTTTAGTGGTTTTCAGTTTTACAAGTAGATGATTATCTTTAAGTTTTCCAAATCATTCTTGAATTCATTTTTGTACGTAAAATTCCTGTATATAAAATTCAGGAATAAAATAATAATTCCTGGCTTTTTGAGGGATCTAGAAGCTTTTACTTTCCACAGTATCTCATGACATTTACTAATCTGTCCAGAAATATTGACCAAGAATATTATTTCTGATTTATTGTTTTCTCATCTCTTCAAGAGTTTCCTTTTTTTTAACTTTTATATTCAATTTTGCTATACTTGAGTAATTATTTAGATGGAACTCTGTATGTTTAACTCGAATAAATATTTATCACCAGGCATGTTCCATCTGGGCTTCCCCATTTGTAAATTCTTACTCGGATTATTTTTTTGAGTTGACTTCAAAGCAGAGTTGGCTATCTGAATTTCTAGTTGGTGTAGTATCCACATTTCTCACCTTGATTGATTCAGTGAGGAAGCAAAGAAATTTCTTTTTGTTGTCTTCCTGTTTAGCCCCATTTTTTTGTTTTCCTTTATCAGGGTAAAGCATGCAGTGGTCAATCACAGAGTTCCAATCCACTTCACTCCATGAG